CTTTTTTTTTTTTTTTTTTTTTTTTTTTGCCTTTGGAACACCGTCGTACGGCCGTCGTCCGTACGCCTTATGGGCGTACGTCCGTCTGTCCGTACGGGCTGTATGGAGACCCCCCGTACGACGTATGGGCGACGACACAACGCTATTTGGAAACCCTCATGTGCGAGACGAGTCCGACGAGTCTTTTTTTCTAAAAGCTAACTCTCACTGGCTCACATGAGTGAAGAATGACATATATGTAGTGGGTGATTTTTGTTGACAGTCAACAGGGAACTTGGAAGTCTACTCTGCAGCTACAACTCATTCTGAGGAATATTAAGCATAGTCAAGAAAAGGTACGTAAGCTTCAATCGGCAGTCCCACCTTAATGGGTAGCCGCGCTTCACGATTGTCCGACCTATTGCAGCCTGGATTGGGTCACCCACAACAGCAGTAACCCCATCCCTATGACAATTATAGGATAAATCATATAACCGGTGAAGAAGCTCAGTTGCAGGCCTTCCAACCGGATGTGCCAGGGGCGAGATGGGCGACTCCTAAAAGGGACCTAGAACGGGACTGTTGGAAGCCAAAGGAAGAACTTACGAGAATTAGGGTCGTGGGATCGGAAGACACAGGCTACTTAGCCTATGAAATGACTTCCCCGGTTTGCGCCCTCCCCTTTGACCCTGACAAGTGGGAATGGAGCGGCCACAAGCCCATTCCAATCTGGCAATACACTGTAAGAGAAGGGTACAAACAAGCACACCCGCTCAAAACTTCCACTCCGGTCGTATGGAATCGGTGGAAAAGGGACTCCCCCGTGAGTAACTCCAACCTGCACCGTATCCCCTGGGAAACGTGTGCACACATAATGCCTACATCTCACAGGGCCCTACAGTGGCAAATACGCCACCGCTGCCTCCCAACTCTGGACTGGGTGGTTTCCCGCTCCTCACTGGAACAAGCAGGAGTGTTGTCCCCCACCTGCGCCCACTGTGGAGTTAGTGCGCAATGCAGTCGGGCGGACCTGGAACACGGCCTTTTAGCATGCCCGATGGCCAAACAGATCTGGCAGTGGTGGGATGCTCGGGCGGACCTGGAACACTGCCTTTTAGCATGCCTGATGGCCAAACAGATCTGGCAGTGGTGGGATGCTCTCTGGCACACACTAATAGGCACAGTGTTCCACAGGGATATCGGGCTCATTCTGCTAGGAAGACAGAGGGCCCAACCAGCATCCTAGACAATGTTCCAAAGTAACCTCTTCAAATACATGAGGCTGGTTGTGCTCATGGTGATATGGAGAATGAGGTGTTTTGCAGAAAGGCGAAATTCCGCCTTTGGATTCCACCAGGCAAAAGCAAAGCTAGTGGAAGTGCTCAGGGCAAACATCCTAGTAAAAGCCAGCCAGAAACTGATTGAAGAAATAGCCAGCATGCCCAACAAGGAGGCGAGAGAACGGGCTGTCAAGTCCTTTAGGCAGCGTTGGTTATATCCCCAATGCAGGCTAGCTGAGATCCAAGAAAATGGGAAAATACAATGGAAGAATTGGGCGGCAGAGGACAATTCATGGTCCTATAGGACAATGGACTGCTTCCATACCCCACTGCCAGGACAACCGGCCACGGCACTGACCCACCCCGATCAGACTAACGGCCAGTCCTCCCAGGTTTCGAGTGTGGTGCCCTCTCCCCCTGCCTCTCACTCCCCATCCTGGAGCCCTCATCTACCATCATGACCCCCCCC